GGCCGGGCCAGAAGAAAGTCTTAGGAATAAAGTAAGAACAAAACAATGTCATTAAATTCCAGCTAGAAGGTGTTACCTACTCTCCTGGTAACCCAGGATGGGTGTTATTACCATCCCCATTTTACAGGTGAGGAATCTGAGCACAGAAGTATGTGCGGCCAAGGTCACTCCGCTCATAAGCGGTGGAGCTGGTCTTTGAAGCAGGGCAGTTCTGCTCCCCATCCATGCTCTGAAGCAAGAATTAGAAAGGATTTGCAGACTTTCACGGGATGTGATTCATTGTGCCTTATTGCTGTATCCTTGTGCTGCCCAAAGCACCTGGTGTACTTCCCGTTGTCCACATCCTACACCGGGGACACGCTGATCCATGGTCCCCCCTCTGTTGTTGTAGAGGAGGAAAGGCACCTGTACAGGGGTGGTGCCTCGGCCAGAGTCACACAGCGTTAGCGTCATGGCCAGGTCCTAGGGATCCTAGGTCGTGTCCCCCCCGCTGCTCCTTCCTTCTCCGTGCTGGGAGACCAGCCTCCCAGGGCTCCGCCTGAATGGGGATCAATGGCCTGGGCTGTGGTCTCTCCTGAGTATCCCAGAGGATGCTGGGAGAGTACACCGACCCCTTCTGGGGATTCCCCACCAACACACACGTGCATGCGTATGTGCACATGCACTCCAGGCAGGCCTTTGGGGGGTGGGGCTGACCTTTGTGGCCCCCTCCATTAACGTTTCCATTTTCCTACTTAGAAATCCTTGGCCCCTTAAGGAAGTGAGACAGTGGTATGGAGGGTCTGTACCCCTACCCTGTAGGGCCACCTCCAGGCTTTCTTTTTCTTCCTGCTTCACTGCTGCTCCTCCCTCCACCCCAACACACACACACACACACACTCTTCCCAGAATCCACCAGATGAGGGGGTCCTAGCCCTGGGGGCACAATCATTTTCCTCCTCATTGCCCTCGGAGCCCCCAGCCTTAGGTGTGCCCCCTCCTGGGCTTTCTGTGGGAGCCCCTAACCGGAATGTCCATCCACCTTCCCCGCCCCCCACCCCCCAGGATTCCTCCTCAGTCCCTCCCCTTTGCTTCTCTGGGTCTCTTCCCCTGCACTGGCTTTTCTCTGCTCCTTCCCACTTAGATGTACGCCCCTTCCAGTCCTTCTCCCCAGCTGTGGCTGAGTCCTGCCTCCTGCCAACTTGGGGGTCCCAGTGAGGGCTAGGATGGTCTCTTCCTTCAAACTGGGGCTCCCTGAGGGCAGGGTTGATGTCACCCTTCTCAGACGGGGGGGGGGGGGGGGGGGTGCCGGGGGGCCCACCCATTTCACTAGCCAATAACATCAGCCCATTTCCCCAGGACATGGGGCGGACACTGACTGGAGAGCTACTTCCCACTCTGGGCTTCAGCCCAGAGGGCTGTGGCCCTAGGCAGCCAATGGGGCACAGGGATACCCCAAGTAGATGATTAACTGTAGGCCCAGCAGGTGACCCTGGGTCCACTGTGTCCCCACTGCCTCTCCCTGGAGAAGGCCAGGAGCCTGGTTGGGGTACCGGCCCTGCTTTCTGGAGGAGATGAGCATCGATAGGTGTATGAGGTCGACACCCAACCCTGACCACACCCCTCTGACCTGAAGGCCTATAGGGTCATTGTTGGGCTGTAGTTCCACTCTATTTTTCTTTTTTCCTCTCTGACGCTGGCTGTTGTTTTGTTTTTCAGAGCAAAGCCTGTTGTCAATGTGCCCAAAATCGGGTTTCTGGCTTTTCACCAGGCTGCCCCCAGGCCTTGGGCGTTGGGGATGCTGGGAGCAGACACAGCCTTCCAAACCCTCCAGACACCTGCCCTGAGTAGGGACCTCGGCCCGGGGCACAGGAGCTGGCGGGAAGGGCTCAGGTTTCCCTTTTATCAGAGCCACCTGGGCTGCCACTCAGTCTAGGTGCGCATGGGGGTGACAGGAATCTGGGCAGGTGAGGGGCCAGGTTGACAACTGAGAGTCCCAATCACAGCATCTGAGGGGAGACACAGCCACAGGTACAGAGAACACGAATGTAGAGACCCACGCCATCTACTGAGAGGCACACAGAGACACAGGTGTGTGGACACACAGGTGTACAGAGATACACAGACTGCATGCCATCTATAGTCACACAGACTCGGGCACGTAGAGATGTGTGTGTGGATACACCGCTGTGCACGCACAGGTTCTCTCAGACACGAGTTTGCATGCAGAATTGTGCACATCTACACAGGCTTTCTCAGCCACTGTGTCATACGTAGGGACACTCGTACATACATGGAAAGATACTGAGAACACACAAATGTACACCCAGCTGTAGTCATTGACAACTACAGGACACTTAGATCTGGGGACGTGACTGTATACTTGTGTACACACACACACACACACATACACACACACACACACACAACATACAGCGTTAGAAGCAGGCATCCCGCCCTGAGACCATACCCATCTGTCCACGTACAGAGGCACCGGCCACACGCATGCACATGCCAGACACCTCTCTGGCACGTGAGCTGTGCTCAGTAAGTACGTATTGAATGAATGAATGAATGAATGAGGAGAGGACACCCAGTAGGAAGAAGTGGAGCCGGCGGGAAGGGGAGCTTGGCTCTGGTTTGCAGAGTCTGTAGACTGTGTGTTTGCGGGGTTGGCCCTAGGACTGGCCAGGCGGCCCCTCCATCGGTGAGGAGGTGGAGGCCGGTGGGCACTGTCTCAGCACGGCGCCTGGAAGGTGCGAAAGGGCGTGTACGGCGGTCTTCTCACTCAGCCGCAGTTGTTTGAGCCAGGTGCTCCGAGGATGCGTCCTATTTTTCCTGGCTGGAAGTCAACAGCCCGGGCGCTGCCACTTCCCAGGCTGCCACAGTTTGGGCGAGGCACTCGGCTTCTCTGAGCATTTAACGCCCCAGTTTTCTCACCTGTGAAATGGGGGAAAGAGAATAAAACTTCATCTCGCTGTGGTGAAAAGGAGACGTTCTCTGTGGGCATGCAGTCAGCAAGTTCAGACTGTGGGGAACTTTATAGGACAAATGACCTGGTTTCTTCAACAAACGTATTGCAAATAATAATAATAATAATAATAATAAAAGAGTGGGAAAGATGAATATGTATCTATTTAAAAATGTGTTTTTAGTGTGGCTCAGTGGTTGAGCGTCGACCTGTGAACCAGGAGGTCAGGGTTTGATTCCTGGTCAGGGCACATGCCTGGGTTGTGGGCTCAGTCCCCACTGTGGGGCTTGCATGAGGCAGCCAA